GTGTATTTAAAAGATGTTAAGTGGTCCTGTGGCTCACTGTGACTTGTGGTGAGCTGGGACTTTCTGCCCTGCCCAGCATCCAAGAGACTATAGCATGGAATATGGTTAGCCCGGGAAAAGATCAAAATTCAAAATAGTCTTTGATTGAATGTGTTTTACTATCATATTATTAAAAAATTGAAAAATCTTAAATTGAAAATCCTAAATTAAGGATCATCCATACTCAAAAGAATCCAAGGAAGAACTTATTTATCCCCCGCAAGGCTTATTGTTCTTAAACTTTTCTCAAAGAGACTTGCGTGGTTTTTTTGTTTTGTTCAGTTTTGTTTTCTTGCTGTTACTGTTGTTCTTGTTTTTAGCAGTAGGTAACTTTCTTCTAGAATGAAGCACTTTTCTCTGCCTGCACCCAAATCATTTGTAATCAAAACTTGTGTTTCCTTGTGAACCATTGTTAGATTTTAAGTTATTGGACAGGAAGAATATTGTTTCTTCTTTTCATATAAAACCATTAAAATGTCATCCAAGTAAGAGTCTCCTTTTTAATACTTACCTAGTTTGTCAACTATCAAAAACTCTAACCCTACTTTAATGTGGATTTAATCGATTGTCAAACAATAAACATAAAATACAGATGGAAAAAAGCAGGGTATAGTAAAAAGGCTCTGTTTTAGAAGGCAAAAAGGAAACTTTCAAAGCTCAATGTGTCACAGTTTCCTTTAATTCATAAATTTGATTTTCTGTTACTTTGCAATTTAATAATATTTTGCTGTTTCTACTAGGGTTTACAGTGCAATTGGTTGGTTAAAAAACTGGCACAAAATTTTCTTGTCTTAGGAAACCTTTTAGATTTTCCTAATATATTCAGTTTAAGTTGGATGAGTACATATTCTTTCCAATAGTGTCATTTGGAATTGCTTAGATCACTTTGCCATCATAGAGTTGCGTGAGTGTGGTTTGTTTCACCTGCTGTCCACACACAATGGTTTCTGGACTGTTTTTGTGTTGTAGCCCACAAAGCTCAATATTTGTAATGCAAACTAGATGTGGCAAGTCAGCAGTGTCAGAACTGGGAAGATCGAGGCATGCCCCTCTCCCCAGCTTTAACTACTGACTACACACTGAGAACACAGATAAGGAAGTAACCTGCATGTGTGGAGTCCAACACTCACCTAAAGCACATACCCTTCTCTACCTTCCTCTCCTATGTCAGTTTCCTGCTACTTCATCACAGTAACCTATTTCTAGGACTAGGATAGTTATTATACGTTGGACCTGGAATGCCCCTAGGGATTCATGCTTTTATTTTTAAATGATTACATTATAAGTTTTCATTTGTATGTTGCAGAGGGCAATTGACACATGTATTTAGTCTATAGTCTCATTCATGCCTACCCTTGAAATAACAATGCATGTTACTCTGCAAAATTAGTAAATTTTCATTGTAGAAAAATTAGAATGTATGTTATCTATTCCATATCATCAGGTACTATTAATATTCTATACATATTTCACAAATTATCCATAATTCAGAAGCTGAAATAATGTTCTTAAAAGCTGGTAAATATGTGGTAGCACGCTCTTATTCATTCAAGAATACAGCCTGAATTTCTACCATAGAGTTGTGTGCATGCATACTTATTAAAGCAGGAACTCATTGAATTGACAGCTTTTTAACTAGAATTTTTTTTCACTTATATTATGAATTTGTTCCTTATTGTTAAATATTCTCTGATGGAACTTTTATTAGCAGATTCTTTATTTGTTCCTTTATTGCTGAGATTGCTTCCAATTTTCTGTGTTATAAATGGTGCCTCACTAAACATTCATACATTTTGTACAACCATTATTATGTCCCCAGGGTAAATAAAATAGCTTTTTCAAACCTAATATTACAGACAAATTAGCAGAAAATCTTCAATACTGCTATAGTGGAATGACTTACTCCTCTTTAAGGAATACTAAACAGAATCAATTGCTTAATTCTTTCGTCGGTCCACAAAATGATGAAGTCACTTTTGTATGGGATCTTGCTCTGGACTCATTTATGCGAATAAATGGAAAAGAGAAGAGAGTCAGAGCCAGGCCGAGACATAGACGGAATGAGGCTGGTCATGAGAGAGTTTTAAATTGTTAGAGACACAGAAGCTGATTTTCATTTCTTTTCAAACAAGACAAGTTCTGGGAGACATATGGAACTCCAAAATCCTTTTTTGCTTTAATTCTTCAACTTTTTTTAAACATAGAAACATATTTTTTGGAGAACAATATAAAAAAGATACTGCAGAAAGCTCTATCAAGCAAACATCCCCTATTATTCTGTTTTCTAATAGGCTTATCTATATGGAACTGGAAATTTCCTTGTTTGGATGAACCCCAATCAACCTGCCTAGCTATATTACTTTTGATTCTTCTTCCTTCTCTCGCTATATTGGCAGGTTAGACAAGGACCACATGGACATATCTACAGTTGTTGAACTATTTGGATTGTTGTTTGTTTGCTGCAATGAAGATAATTCACACAGTGGAACCCAATGGAATGTCTCAGCAAAAGAGTATTAAAAAATACTTTAGGATTTTAGCTTGGGGTTCTGTGATTTGAAGGAGGGTTCAAGGGAAACAAGGATTCACTCTATATTGTTTGTTGTCAGGAAGTGTTGCAAAGAGCTGGATGGGTGTTCTTTTGCTCTATCTGTATAAAAATTGCACATTTAAGAAGGAAGAGATTCCCTTAGTGCTGGTGGCCCTCAGTTCCTGATACTCATAAGCTAGGCTTTCAAAGCCAGCTTATATATGCCTTTAGAACTAGAGGCTTATGGTTCTCTAAAGCTTTCAAGACTAGAGATTTATTGCTGTAGGTGCTCAAGCAAAAGTAGTTCATTGAGGCTTTTATACTAATAGTGAGTCAGTCTCCTTATGTAGCTATAAGAGGGCCACTGTACCCCTTTGTTCAAGTTGTAATTCTTTTTTATTTTTTATTTTTGGTCCGGTCGTGGGGCCTGAACTCTGGGCCTGGGCGCTGTCCCTCAGCTCTTCAGCTCAAGGCCACAGTACCACTTCTGGCTTTTTTCTTTTTGCTTATGTGGTGCTGAGGAACCGAACCCAGGGCCTCAGGCATGCAAGGCAAGCACTCTACCACTGAGCCACCTTCCCAGCCCTCAAGTTGTAATTCTACCATGGCTTCCAGTTCCACCAATCATAGGCCTCACATAAGTAACAATTGCAGGTCTTGCACAAACACAGCTACATTTCTGTCAATCATAAGCTTTTTGCTGGGTCTCTAGAGGGGATTCTCTTCTTCTGCCTGACCTAATTGAGGTCTACTATTTCAAGGTTTGAACAGCCAGGTATTGGCACCTGTGGAGCTGCTGCAGATAAGGTCATCTGGGGACTGTGTATGTGGGTGGTTTAGGCAGGAGTAGTTGTGACTGGAACAAGGCTTCTTGAAGCAAAGTGGGCCACAGAAGCTTGACACTGTAATAGTGTTCCTTGTAGCTGGAATATTGGATAGTGCTTTGTAAAGGTGTTGATGGTCCATAAGGTAGCAACAGTTTCTCTTTATAAGTACAAGGATGGCTCCTGGTCTTACATCTTACCAGGCCAGTTTCTAATTGTCCTAGTCCATTTCTTATACTATAATTCTGTTATTTGGGGATGTCAGGGATACTTCTAGGTAGCTTAAGAACTTGTGATTGTGATTTTCTTAGTGCTTTATTTTGGCTTTGTGTTGGTGACAGTGGAGTTAGAACACAAAACCTCTCACCCATTACTTAGGTACTCTACTATTTGAGCTATACCCCCAGCTCTTTTTTTATTCTTGATACCTTTCAGATAGTCTCCTGTTTTTACATGGTACTGGCCACAAACCAAGATCCTCAATCTATGCATCCCTTGTCACTGAGATTAAAGTTGTGTGCCACCATGCTCAATCCTTGTTCTGCCAACCCAGATTTCACCCACATTGTTTTTGTTCCCTAATGTAACACTTCGGGTTTTCAGACATGGAATAATAACTAAAATGTGTTCATTACCTTATACATTTTTTGGAGGTAACAATGCTCGATAGGAAATGTACTCATTACCTTACTTATGTAACTGTAACCCTTCTCTATTTTTTTTACAATAAAAAACATTAAAAAAAACATTACCTAGTACATTTTTAATAGAGGAAAACATTTTACTGGCTAAATGCTAAATTACTAAATGCCAAACAACGCAACCAGATACTCTATAGTTATATCCCGGTAATACTAGGACGAATGAATCCAACTTATTTCATATAGAATACTTTTATAGAATACATTAGCGTTTTTATAAACAATTCAAATAGTATTTCTATGGCATTTAATGACAGTTCCACAGTTATGTTTTCAAAAACTTGAAATATAAGTAAAAGGTAACAATTGCTCTAACTTAATTAATTAGATTTATACTAACATAACTTTTCTTTATAATCACCCTAGCTTAGAAAAAAAAACATTGTTTTATTCTATACAGACTTATTGTTTCATAAATGATGACTGGAGTAGTTTGAAAACATTTAAGTCACAGCAGAACTTTTTTATGTAATTGTTGTATTTGAGTTATAAATGTTACAATACTAGTTAAACTGAAACCTTATTTGAATTACTAAATTTTAATCACCAGCATGTGTTCACTTATTTCAGCTGTCTTACACTTAGTTCACATTGTTCCATTTGTACTCAAATCTATCGATTATCAGTAGTCTTTATAATTGTAGAGGAAATAATGCGTTCTCTCCTGTATTTGCATTTTTCTAGTCCTACACTTAGTTCATATTGTTCCATTTGTACTCAAATCTATCAATTATCAGTAGTCTTTATAATTGTAGAGGAAATAATGCGTTCTCTCCTGTATTTGCATTTTTCTAGTCCTACACTTGGTTCATATTGTTCTATTTGTACTCAAATCTATCGATTATCAGTAGTCTTTATAATTGTAGAGGAAATAATGCGTTCTCTCCTGTATTTGCATTTTTCTAGAATCCGAAGGCTACCTTGAGGTCAACACTCAAGCACACCTAAGAATGCAACATTCTGGGGAAAACCATGAGAGAAAGGAAAGGAAAGATTCAGAGGTTTCAACAAGTACCGGTCCTCTGGCACTGGTGCTTCCTAATGAAATCCAATGTGAGGTTGGTATTGACAGCCTGTTGTCTAAGTTGCCATGCTGTTCTAGTATTAAAACATCTTAAAGCGTGCCTAGAACTTGGTATATTTTGCTTATGGCTTTGCCTCCAGGCTCTAGATCAATACTTGGCAATTAATAGGCATTTAGTCCATATTTATTGACTAACTGAATATTGGAAATGATATAAAAGGTTAAGCTTATCAAATATTATTTGACACTTTTCAAAACAGATATCATATATTATATATGTATCTATACAGCTATATCTGTATATTTTATACACATGCTATATATCTCTATATATCAGTTTTCAAAGGTATCATTTGACATTTTGTTATTTGACATTTTACAAAACAGATAGTATATACATGCTACATTAAGCTACCTAAAAGAAAGTTAACTTCATATTAAATAGATTAAGAATTTTCTTTTTTTCCAAAAGGAAAATATATCACTGAAGAGAACTTTTTAAAATACTCATTTTCATGTCCACCAATTTTTCAATTGTAAGCATATATTGAAGATTGACATCATTAGGGTAGAAACATCCTAAGAATTAGAGACCTTGTCCTTCAGGGGATAAGAGTAAAGTTTGGAAGATTTCTTTCTAAAGTGACTATACAAAAACATATCATTCTTGACATCTCTTCCTCCTAAACCTTCCTAGTAATGACCCAGTAAAATAATCGGCTGGTAGAGCTTGACCTGACTCTGGCTGGGTAATCTTCTGACAAACAAAAAGATGCTGAGCATTTGTCAGCACAGCCCTTGAGTGGAAACAGCCAAAAGTATAGTAGCCTGATGGCAGATACATGAAGGCGTTCATCTTAGAAGCAGGTGTGTGCATTTGACGCTAGCTGATGGATGTGGGTGCTCTGGCCATGTGGTGAATGAAGCTAAACATTCTATGGAGTTGGGCAAAGTTTAATTTCCTCATCTCCACCGGATCCACATGTCAGAGCAGAAGCATTTCTAAAGTAAGCAACGTGGGTTCCAGGGTGAGAAGCACACACACTAATTAAACATACGCTCAGAAACCCCAAGAGCTTGAACTACACAGTGTGAGGAAAGGGACATGGATGATCAGACAAAGAAAAGGCATGACATACTTAAAAGCCTGGGGACTTAAGGGAGAAGAGGAACCAAAGCTGGTGGCATGGATGGAGTCAGAAATAAGGTGAGAAACAGAAAAGAACTATACTAAAATAAATGGGAACTGTTCTTCAGTAGTTGAAATCAAAGCAGAGGGGAAAAAATAATAACTCTGAAACTAAAAATAGCTCCTAGGAGTTATGCAATAAGTCTAAATAGCTGCTTTAAAAAGACTCCATGACAGTAAAATTTGAGCACTATAAAACCCTTCACACAAAGAAATCAAGGCCCCAAAATGAGGGCTCTCTGTCCTTTATCTTATGTAAATGGCTACATAATGATATGGATATAATTCTTTAAGGCTTCCTAAAGTTAAATGATTTCAGTATTAAGTCCCATTTGGGTATCACGCTTAAAAAAATTCCTAAAAGTTGAAAGAGCCTACAAATTTTTTTTTAAAAACTTATCCTTTGAACGCAAAGTAGATATTTCAGGCAAAATCTTGCTGTCTCAGTAATTTGAAGCCATATGATTGCCAAACAACACAGAAAAGAGCATTTGTGTCCCTCTGTATGAAAACTACATTTCAGACTTCCGTGGACCATGTCTGTTTACTTCACCCCATTGCCTTAGAACTTGAACTCATTTCTGAGAAAGTCTTCCAATGGGTAAGTGAACAGAGACTACTTAAGCCTCCTGAGTCCTCTCCTAGGAAGGGATAATCAAAACTTCCCAGCACAACTTTTAATTTCTGCTCCTGTTAGTCTGAAGATCTGATTTGAAGCATGCATCTTTCCAACTTACTAATTTCTCTTTGTAGTCCTACATTTCCAGCGTGCTGACTTGAGCATGACTATTAAGTCGTCATAGGGGGTAAGGTATCGTCTTCATTCCTCATCTGAGTAGGGAATGACTTTGATTCCCTCTGGCTTTTCTCTTAGACTCTCTCCCTTGCTCTGCTGTGTAGTTGCTGGGTGTGGAGACCTGCCTCCCAGAGCAGAGCAGGTCTCTTCCTCCGTTTCTGCCCCAGCAGCATTGCTACATTACGAAGTGAGTGAGTTAGTGGGTATCCTTGCTGTAACCCTAGAGCTGGGGATTATTGTGTCTCTGCCTTGTACGCTTTCCCAGCGGCCTTTCCTTCCAACAGAGTTTCCATTTCTTACAACTTGAAAATCTTGTGCCATGTTAAAACATCATAAAAATTTTTTTCCTCTCAATATTCTTTCCATGTACTAATGAAGACAGGCTTCCAGTTCTCTATTTATGTAAGTTATTTTGTGTCTCTTTGAGAAATACCTACATGAATTTTCAGCTCAAATTTACTTCTTAAGGTGGCTTCTTCACAGTAACTTTCTCTAGATTTGGCACACGTGGGTCTAGTGTAGTATTGATCACAAGATCTTTGTCCATTAGCCAGGACATTTGTTTTACTAGTATTCCTTTTGATTTTGTGCTATAGGGTAACAGATGATGAACTGTATGTCTGCTCAATGGATCCAATAGTCAAAGCATGTTCATGCGACTTTATATAACTGGGAAAATTCATTCTCCCATTAGACAAATACCTAAACTAGAACTGAACTGGTTCTATTATTTGGTAGCATCTCCTTTCTTATATGCATCAGATCAGTCATGGTTTCATACATGCAGACAAGTTGTCTCCGAATAGTAAATCAACCCCACACAACAATGATGTCAAGCTTTCCGTCCTCAGAAGAGACTGAGCTGCAATTGTCTGAGGTCCGATAGTCAATCACTTGCTAGACCTTAAGGGTGATTTTAGTCATTCTTTTTTATACATTTTTTATTGTAAATTACTGTACAGAGGGGTTGCAGTTACGTGAGCAAGGTAATGAGTACCTTTCCTATCAAGCATCGTTACCTCCTCCTTGGTTTTTGCCCTACCATCACTTCTTCCCACCTCCGCAACGACACTCCCCCCACCCCTGCCTAACTTGTAAAGTTCATTTTTCCACATAGTGTCTTGTGTATCTCATTGTTACAATGGGTCAACCTGTATCCCTATTTAAGCATTTTGTTTTCTCCCTTCCCCTCCCCCAATTAGAGAAGTGTATCTTTGTTTTAAAATCATTTTTACCCACAGTTGGTGGGGCGGATGTTCTTCAAATGTTTCCTATGGCAGGCACACTTCTTGGAAGTATTATAAATTTGCTCTCTACCACTACAGAGTCCTGGCTGGCCCTGGACTCACAATCTCCTTCATTCAACCTCTACAGTACTGGCATTCCAAGCAAGCATTACCACGTGTATTTACAAATACATCAATGTATTTATTTGTTTGTTTACTTGCTTTAAGTGTCCAGGGCCTCTGCATGCTAGGGAAGAATGCTACCTTATCCCATCTAAGAATGAGCTTATTTCTTTATCTTGGGTTGTATGTGTAGACAGATGTTTATTATATCACGTTTCCTTTTCCTTTAGATGAAATTTCCCACGGCAATCTCAGCTTTTTCTTCCCCCAAAGTCCTTGACATCCTTTAATATATTCAACCTATTTATTTTTATGTTTAATTCAGTCTTCCATTGTGGCTATATTAATGATAAGACTGAAATATTTTTTAAAAAAATAATTCAATCAGCTGTTGAGTTCTTAAACAAACTTAGTATAAGCAGCAGGCCTTTGAGGTGGTTTTACTAGAATGGGTATATACTAATTTTGTTAAATTCCTTTTTCTAGCTGAACCTGTGACTATGGCATTTCCCCCAGTTAAGGCCTTAATTTCATCAGTCATGTCACAGACCATTATTGTATAATCAACAAATTTAGAGTGTCTTGAGAATACTTAAAAGGATGTGCCTCTTAAGGACCATAAGAATTTCAGGAATTATCTTCTTACCTTCCAATCTCTGCATTCAGTTTAAAATAATGTACACAAGTTATCAGCACTACTTGATTTCTTCTAACCTCAAACCATCAGGTATCTAACCTGAATTTAAAGCCTGAACTTGTGATTTCATTGAAATTACAGTAAAAGGTATATAGTAATGCCTATAATGTAATGTGCTCTCTATTTGGAATGAGGATGATGGAGGCCAAGACTTCCCTCCCTCCTCTAATAAGGTAGTTCTCAAAGTAGTTGGGCACGTTTAGAGACAAGGGCAATTTTTTATATATTTTTCTTGTAAAGATACTATACAGAGGCATTACAGTTTCATGAGTAAGGTAATGAGTACATTTCCTATTGAGCATTGTTACCCCCTCCTACCATCTCTTCCCTCCCCACCTCCCCAACTCTCCCCTCCCCATCCCCCCATTGAAGTTGTAAAGTTTGTTTTCAACATAGTGTCTTGTACATCTCATCGTTACAATGGTATTTTGGTAGTTAAGGGCAATTTTTTAAAAGAGCCATAGTGACTGTTTTCTTACCTCCAGAAGTTCAGATATAAACAGTCCATTGTATCCTGAGCAAAGCTTTCCAAGTGATTCTAAAATTATGAATTGGCAGCCAAATTTGTAACCAAAATGATAGCCAAACTCTTGCTTCGCTGTCATGGGCTAGACCAAAATAAACTATTGGAACCTGGCTTGCTAAGTCCAATGCACCCATGCTTGTGAATCCAGTGCCTGTTAAAGTAGTCATGAACATATGAAAAAATGAACTTGGTCATAAGTTAACTAAGTCATAAGTAAAGTCATAAGTAAACTAACGCCATCCACTGGATCCAAATCCCCTACCACTTCTGTTCTCATTAGGCCTTAAGACAGCAATCCTGACAGAACTGACATTTCCCACTTTGCATATTATATTACACCAAATTTGAGCCTTTTTGTTTAAATCTCCAGGTCCATGACCAAGGTGATATATTTCTGTGTTTGGAAATGATAATCATTGTAACTCATTCTTTCTGAATTTTTAGACAGCTTCACAGCTAATATAAAATGGAATGCGTGACCATTCGAATGGCCTAATACTTGCGCCTTGAGTTAAATTTAGCCTAATAATTAAAAACAAGTCTTCCTCATAGGGCTGGGGCTGCCTGCAGGGAAGAGATATAGGATATATAGACACAGTATCTCTTATGCAAATAATCCACACAAGGTGTCACCATAGAAGAAGAAAATATAAGTATCTTCAGGATATTAAAAAAAAATCTATTTGGGAAGGCAAGGCACAGATAAGTAGACCCAACAAAGTAAAGGGGATTAGTAACAGTTTGATGAAGGCTCTTAATTCGAAGTTACATAGAACCAGGGAAACCTGAGTTGGACTTGGATGAAGAGCCTAAACATGGACAGGTAGGGAGAGAGAAAAGGAACTTAATAAAGTAACAACATTGGGCTGGGCAGGTGTCTTAGTGGTAGAGTGCTTGCCTAGCATCCATGAAGCCCGGGGCTTGACTTCTCAGTACTGCATACACAGAAAAAGCCTGAAGTGGTGCTGTGGCTCAAGTTGTGAGTGCTAGCCTTGAGCAAAAGAAGTTCAGGAACAGTGCCCAGCCCAGAGTTCAAGCCCTACGACTGGCAACAACAAAACAAACAATCGAATAGCAACATTATGTAGAAACAGAACCATCTACCTACTTGGCAGTGCAAAATAATAACCAAGTCTTAATGTTCAAATAGTTTAGCAAGTTTAGACAGGGACAGGGCAGAACTTTCTAAACATGAGTCCTGTGTGACTATGTAGGTCATAGGCCATAAAGCCAGCCCTGTGTACAAATGGAAATTTAGCAATGTGTCATTTGAGGTGGCCAGTGGGCTTGTCTTTTGTCTAGAACTTTTCTCTGGAAATGGTTGAAAGGTGGAGTCCTGTCCTCTATTAAGGAGGGAATCTGCTGCATAAAAAGTAGCCCATGTTTAACACTCATGAATAAAAATGAGTTGGTTGTGAATAAAACATGTGGAAAGAACACCTGTGCTTACCGACTTTGGAGAGAGCTAAGTCAAAGTTAAATAATAAATGAGGTAAGCGTGGAAAAGAACTCTAAAGAACTTTGAAGGGGAGATTCGGAAGGAATCTAGTCCAAAGAGAAGCGGGAAGTCATACTATGGCAGCTAGCTATTAAAAATGAGATGGCAGAGAAACTACAAAGCTCAGAAGATCTGGGCTAGAAAGGAGGTCCTGAAAAAAGGAAGCTGCAGGTACAAGGCATAGACAGCCTAAAGTTCTCACCTTCCAAAACCTATGTGTGGGCCAAGGGCCTATTCTATTATTATAGAATGCAAGCATTTACTTTGAAATAGGATGTTTGGTGTGTGTTTGACTGGTTAAGAGAAAGTTAATTCCAAGCCTATGGACAAATATTGAGGATTTAGAACATTGGTAGATTTGTGTGTCAGCTAAAAAGTTGTGGTAACTTTGACCTATTATTTGTAGAAACACTTGGGTACAAACCATTAAGATTGGAGTTTTACTGGGGTGTGATTTGTGTGTAAAGAGGTAACATTTAAAAAGGAGAATTTCAAACAATGACTGATGCACATGATTTTATGAGAGCATATAAATCAGGTTCTTGTTTATTTAGTGTGAGCCTAAAACTTAGCATGACTGAAAGATACCTTTGAGAGGTAATCTCGCCCAGATCAAAGGTCATTGTAAAAATGTCTTTCCCCCCCTAAAAAAACTTGAAATGCATGATGTAAAGAATAGTGTAGATCTGAAGCTAGGTAGTTGTAAGCACTCTGTCAGATTGTAATTCTAAATGTTAATTACCCTATTGCTAAAAAAATAAAAGTAACAACTTCCTCCATTTTGGTTTGGGGCATTTGAGTGTATGTTGGGGTGTGTTGGGTGTGTGTGGGTGTGGGTGTGGGTGGGGGAGTGGGTGTGTTTTTCAGTGCAGATTAAAGGAAATGTATTTATAGAAAAAGTTCTTACCATAATTCCTATAAAACTGACACTGGATAAACACTTATTCTTTCTTTTCTGTATATTATTCTAATCTTCTTTATCTCTTCTGTCTTCTTTTCTGTTAGTTTCCTTTTTTTTCCCTGCCCAAATGAGGTCTTCAGTTAGTCTTTTACTTTATGTACATAGATTTGACTTTTTCAACTGAATTAAATCTGGAAACTTTTAGAATTATAACGGTTAGTCAGTTTAAAAACCTTTGCAGGGACTCATATATAAATGATGAGAGAATGCCTATTACATAAAATATAAAACTATTTGACATTTCAAAATTTTATTATATTTGAAATATGCGAGATCTTAACCTCATTAAGTCTTCTCAAAGAAACCAAACACAAAGAAATTAAAGTGTATGAAAGTGAAAGCTAAGATTTGGGGAAACATAATGGTTTAATTCTGATGTTCTGATGATCTGGGAAAAAAATGTTCACTCTAGGATAGCGAGGCCCATACAGGAAAAGGAAGAGGAGGAGCTTTCTCTCTGCTTTTTCACTTGCAAAATGTGGTTTTGGAGAAGAAAAAAAACATTTGATAGACACTAGATTAATGTTTAAAATTTAGCGAAAATCACATTTAAATATTCCATTTCTGATTATGGTTGGAATACAAATAATATTTAACAACAGGGTATCAACTTAATCATTAGGAGGTGGAAAGAGTTCTTTGACTGAGCTTTGTTCTTTCAATGCTTCATTGGGTTGCATTTTTACCTTACAGAATCCTGGTGAGATATTCATTCTGCTGAGAGACGAAGTAATTGGTGAAACTCTGGAGATTGAATTTATGTCAAATTATAAGCGCATTATAAAACAGCCAACACGTTGGAATAAGAAAGTTTGGAGTATGAAAGCTTTGGGTAAGGATTTTTATGCGTTAATAAGTGTAAAACATCATTCGGGCAGGTTCCTTTCATTAACTTTATGATAAATGGTTTCACTTCCTAACAGAAACTAATATTGTTCTGCAGGTGTTTCCTGTGTGAATTTTCACACGCTCAACTTTGTTATTATTAATCCAGATTTTCAAAAGTGTAAATTATACAAAACTAACTTGTTTAAGTTATAGAAAACTAGTCTGAATACTCTGTAGTGAAATGGCAGTGAGTAGCATCATGAGTTTGAAAATGTCTGTAGCGAGTACTTTAATACACATTAGCCATCAAATACGGAATTAAATTTATTTCCTTTATTTTAACATTAGGATCGGCAAGTTTAAACTAGAATTTCAGTTAAAAACCTTTCTGTTATCCTTCCCTTTCCCCCCACCTCAAGCGTTCTGAAAGGCATAACTCTTTCATTATTCTAATCATAATGCCATTTCTACATATGATTTTTTCTATAAGTTCCTTATTTCATTTGTGAAGCTCATCATTTAACTATCAATTTCTTACAACGTGATCAATTGTATTAGATGCTAAATTCCAGATGGATAAGTACATGTGCTACAATAATAGTACAAAAAATTCAAGGTATCAAATTCTAAAACTGATTATAATAAAATTTAGGATTACTTGTTTTCTTATAGTATCTTTTCATAATCAAAGAATGATATTACCTTACAAAACCTCATAAATTTGAGGTTCATAAAATGTTTTGAAGTAAAAAGACACTCAATTAATCTTACTTTGAATTTGAAAATGTAAAATATGCTAGTATTCAGAATTGGAGAATATAATAAAGATAGTCTGAGTTCTTGTTTATTTTTAAGGTATTATAAATGCCCTGTCAAAAGATCTTTACAGACCTCTGTTTGTGTTACACAGAACACATGTTCTCCCTAGCAATTTCCTTGTATAGCTTAGGTTACAGTTGGATTATAAAGAGAAGGCATGCTATTCAAAGACATAAAACCATTGCAGACACTGCTTTTTGTCATGGACAGCATATGCAGAAATGGGATGGGAGAAAACACTTTCTCTTTTCCCTTCTCCCTCGCCTGTAGTTTCCCTTCTTGTGTCACTTTCTTAAATGATTTAATGAATAATAATTTCCCACTAGTTCCAGCTAGTTTAAAATAAAGTTTGTTAGAATAAATCACTACAGAAAAACCAATATTGCAAATTAAGAAGTACTTAAAAATAATATTTCTCAAGTAACGGATAAAGATGTCAAATAAAATTATTCCCATTACTTAAAATATTTAGTTCAGCGTTCCTAATGGGTTAGAGTAGTACAAAGAATAAAACATGTCAATGTTCTTGGTACCACAAAGTTTCTAGAAGAAAGTTGCAAACACTACTAGACAAAGGTTTCTTGAGTAAGATCCCCCAAACACAGACAACAAGGGCAAAAACTTAGTGGGATTATAGTAAGCTATAAAGATAGTGTGCAGCAAAGAGAAAGGGTCAACAGAGTGAATAGGCACCCTACAAAAGGAGAGAAACTATCTGCAAACTATGCATCCCATAGGAAAGTCATCCAGAAGATGTATGATTCAGAAAACTCAACAACAGAAAAAAATCCACAAGTGGATTGCATGTATGATATTCCTGGGGTGGAAGTGTTAAGAAGCCCCCAGAGTTTCTGGAAGATTTCCTTTTAGGAATCACACAAGGTTCACACCGTGGAAATGTGAAAAGAGTCTCTGGGGCCTCTGTCTGGATCAGCAATGATAGTCCTGATGAAATTCTCTCAGTATATTCCCCATAGGAAAGATCTGGGAAAAATCCTTAGGACAGTTTCATTCCAGGGGGAAGGGCCGCCTCTCCCTTTGCCTTCCTGACCCATTTAGGGTGGGCAGGAGGATGGGGTAGGTGCACCAATACCTCAGCAGCAATTCTTGTGGCATCACAGCCAAGAGATACTAAACACTGAGATAGAATTCCATATCTTCAGATTGCCTCCCATCTTCAGGCCTCATGGAGACCTCGTGGTTACACCGGTGTAGCCTTCTTTTCTTAGAGTAATAGTGGCTTGTAGCTAAAATAACTGCAAAACCTGGGTGTGATAACATTACAAGCTTTAGTGCATCAGAAATGGAAAGGAATCTCGGTAGATTGGACATAGGTAAGAAAAGAACTACTGGATTTGAAGATAGGCCAATAAAAATCCCCCAAACCCAGATGCAAAATGAATATGCAAAACGACAGGACACTTGTAAAATATGGGACAATTTCAAAAAGCATAACAGCATGTGATTGGAATACAGGAAGGATGAAAATACAAAGTCCAAGAAATATCCAAATATTAATGATAGACATTAAAACACAGATTCATTTTTGCTATAGCTCATAGCAAGATAAACAGTTAAAAATAATTTCTGTATACTGTATTCAAAATATAGCAAACTAAAATCAAAGAGAAAAACTTATAAGGCAGAGAAAACAGATATTACCTGATGACTTGAATTATCCTTTTTAGTTTTATACTTTTTCATTGTAAAAAATACTGTACAGAGGGGTTACAGTTACATGAGCAAGGTAATGAGCACATTTCTTATCAAGCATTGTTGCCTCCTCCTTTGTTTTTTCCCTAACATCCCTTCCCTCCCACCTCTACAACTACACCCCCCCCCAACTAAATTGTAAAGTTCAACATAATGTCTTGGACATCTCGTTGTTACAATGGGTCAACCTGTATCCCTATTTAAGCATTTTATTTTTTCCCCTCCCCTCCCCAAATTAGAGAAGTGTATATACAAGATGCAGGGCACCCACCGACATCAAATACAGTGAAAACAGGGGTTATCCTGTGGGGAAGGAACATACAAAGAAACAAAAGAATCACATGGTACGTTATAAATACGTTAGAAACAATAGCAAGAAGGAAAAAAAAACCACTTGTGGCCCTATCTTGGGACTCATTTTGCTTAACATCATCTTATCTGGTCAAATCTACATAGCTTTTGACCTTTTTATATTGAAGGAGTTGACTCATTATGTTTGATTTTTCCATAAAAAATTACACCAATGCTAGATATTTCAAACTGGAAACAAAGTAAGGAAAATATTTAAGTACAATCAGGCTGACCAGACTAGAGAGGAAACCCTAAAATGCTTTTTTTCTAGGTGCCCTCTCTCTCTTCTGCCTAACTTCTGTGTCGTCACCTGAGATTTCCACTTAAGAAAATATTGTTTAGTTTTATCATATCCTCTTTCTCTCAGCTCATGAACTTTATACACTGTATTTATTTCATTTTCTAGGAGGCATACCTCCTAATGACATCCAAGGCTTGTCTCTAGCCAGGACCTGAGGCTAAGGAAATTTCAAGCTATTCTACTTCCCTTTATTGCTAAGCCAATAAAAACATATATGAAGTCTTCAATGAGAAATATTAATTTCTAGCTGGAAGGGAGTAATTCCTCTGATACTTGCAGCACAGCCAGAGAACAAACAACACAGCAGGGAAGCAGCCAATTAAAAGTTAAAAGAAATTCATAATGAATCAACAAAAACATAGAACTTTATTAATTAAGAAATTACACTCTGGTTTAATGTAAGTTTAACTTCAAACTCCATGAAAAAAAAAAAACATGAAAGATACTTTGGGATATGCCAAATATTATGATGAACCTGTTTAGGATAGCAGCCACAATGGAGAAATAGATTTCTGATATCAATTTATGATTCTACGTATCATTTTTAGGCATGACTACAAGTTTGAACCTACATGCATTTAATTGTAAACAGAATCATGTTGCTGGGTAGGGTGGCACATGCCTGTAATCCCAGACACTGGGAGGCTGACAGAAGGATGGAGAATTTGGTGACTTTGTCACCAAAAACAGCAGCAACCAAAACAGAAAAGGAGACTCATGTTCTCAGACTGCAAACACACGTAGCAAAAAAATCTATTAACTGACTGGATTTGTGAAATATCTTCTTTCGTGAAATTAGTGAAATGTTCTTACTTGTCATAAATATTTTTAGATGATATTTTCCACCAATTACTTCTGTCTGTACCTCATCTGTAAGGTCAGAACAGTTATATTATGGGGAAAGGAGAAAGGGCATAAATAGCACAAATTAGAAAGAAAGGACATAGTTATCATCTTGAGATACCATCTTTCCCATTTGAGATTTGAAATTTAAGCAGAATTTCTTTGTCATTGCTTTTCTTTTAATTTTGCTATATTTATTTTCGACTTCAATTGGATTTTACTTTTACTGAAAAGCAATGACCTACAGTCATGGTGATCCCATGTAAAAGTAGAATTACATTCCAGAAGTTCAAGGACATCCCAACCCAATGGCTACTTCGACGTCCTCTTTTATTAGTGAGAAAAATAATTAAGCTTTGCTTTTCTTAAACCACTCAGCAAATATGAAAATACACAAAGCAAATACTTCAAAGGACATTTCTTTGGGAGAATTTCTCTAAAAACATCAGTATTTGTAGATCCTTTGCTAAAGATTCAATTCAATTAGTGACTCAATATTTGAGAAATTAATTGGTTCATTTTTGTACTAGATCCTAAAGAAATTAGAATAGTTTAAATATTTTTATGCCAAAATTGCCAAGCCAATCTTCTCACCATATGTCTCTTATGATTCATGGCTTGACTCTTTCAGGAGGTTAACTCCTTATGATAAAACTGCTAATATTTTTTTATAAGAAACAACATAACTATTTTTCTTTCAAACTCTCTTTTGGACTTACCACAATAAAATGAAAATTTTATATTAAAAATCATATTTTCCAGGCACCAGTGGCTTACACCTGTAGTCCAAGCTACTCAGGTGGCTGAGAACTGAGGATCATGATTCAAAATCAAACAGGGAGAAACCTGTGAGACTGTTATCTCTAGTTAACCAAAAAAAAAGAGACAGAAGTAGAGGTGTGTCTCAAGTGGTATAGCCCAAGCTTTGAGCAACAATATATAAAGGACAGAACTCAGCCCTAAGTTCAAGTCCCAGTAGAAGCATGGGCACACGCCACCCTCCCCCATTCCCTCCCACCTTTCTGAAGTCAATTATATGGCTCCAGAGAATCCAGGCCCTGAGTTCCATGTGAATACAGCTTTAGCTCATGACATAGCGTTCACAACTTTGAGGTTTCATTTATGTCTCTCTTTCATTCTCCATTGGACAATACTCTTTTGGGTGGATAAGTATTTTACTTTTCCACATACTTCTTTTTTATAATACAAATTAGAAGTTAAGGATATGGAAAAATGCCAGGTATTGGTGGTTCATGCCAGTAATCTTAGCCACTCAGAATACTGAGGCATGGAGGATTGTGGTTCAAAGCCAGTGAGCATAGAAAAGTCAGTGAGACTCCATCTCCAATTACCCCCTGAAAGGCTGGATGGAAGCCTGGCTTAAGTAGTTGAGTCCAAGTCAGGTAAATGTGAACCCAGCGAACAAGCCCTGACACTGGGAAAATATTATTAATTAAGATTAATTTGGGAGGTGGCTATTTTAGCTCCTTGGTCTAGTTAAACTTGAGATGGATTTTGTTGTTTGTAAATTTCCATGAACAAAGTTATTAGCAGTCCAGTCACTTTTTCATGAGATAAAGCAATACTAAAGCTGAAGCTTTAGTTGGATTTACTCCATATCCAGATGTTTGAGTAACAGTTTTACAGAAAAAATGGATCTTTGTGACAGAGTATTTTTCCTTTCTTGGGGGTGGGGGGTCTCCAAGATACTTCTTCAAACTGTGGCTTGATTTTATGGACTCTAGCTTGGCACTTGAGCCACACTGTTTATTTTTGTTTGTTTCAGATGGAGTATAACGTTTTTTTCTTCTTCCTGGATAGGCCTGGGACACTGATATACCTATGTTCACTTTAAAAGTGCTAGTATTACAGGAGTGTACCACCATGCTTCGCAGAAAAGTGAAAACTTTAAGTTTTGTCCTACAGATCAACATTTTGTTTCCTTTTGTTGCACCACTACATACATGTTTTATTGAAATGACTGTATGTTGTTATTCTTTGATAGAAAAGCCCCAATTTTTTTTTTTGTCGGTCGTGGGGCTTGAACTCTGGGCCTGGGCGCTGTCCCTCAGCTCTTCAGCTCAAGGCCAGCGCTCTACCACTTGAGCTACAGCGCCACTTCCGGTTTTCCGGTGGTTTATTGGAGATAGGAGTCTCATGGTCTCTCCTGCCCGGGCTGGCTTTGAACCGCGATCCTCAGATCTCAGCCTCCTGAGTAGCTAGGATTACAGGCGTGAGCCACCAGCGCCCGGCTGAAAAGCCCCAATTTTTATATAGCTTTGAACTCTGTTGGTATGTGATAGCAGAATTCACAATACAGTTTTCACTTTGAACAATTTACTTACAGAGGTTTGAGATAAATATATGTAGTATATATGTTTTTTGTTTTGTCTTGTTTTGGCCAGTATCTAGGCTAGAACTCAGGGCCTTATGCTAGCTTGCTTATTCAATAATGGTCGATGATCTACCACTTGAGCCACATCTCCAGTTCCAGCATTTTTACCCATTAATTGGCAATGAGTGTCTCTCAGACTCTTCTGTCAGGGGTAGCTTTGAACAGAAATCTTTGGATCTTAGCCTCCTGAGTAGCTAACATTTCAGATATGACTCACAGGTACTTGGCTTACAGCATTCTTAAGATTTAGAGCATTGAACTCTACTTTTCCTCAGCTTTCTATTCTAACCAATTGAATACAAGTTTGAGGATTTCAATCAGCTCTAGTTTTTCAAACTATTTATTTCATAGGATTGAAACAATACCCAACTTTCAATATATGGCTGCACTTTTCTAAACTCTAGATCATGTAAAGATTATTATAGACCACTACTGAAAAAGATACTCGAATGCAGAAGGATTTCATACTTTACTTCTATTATACTTTTAACATGATTTTTATTTTTTAACTTTATAAATTACATTCAAATTTTTAGTCTATTTTGTAGTTTCTAACTTATTAAGATCACCCAAATCCAAACATTTGAAATGCTATGAATTATTAAATATGTTATGAATTCTTAAAAGATTTCTTTGTATTCTCCAAAGTTCTATGTGCATTCTATACTCAGCTTCTCACTCTTGTTTGTGTTTTATAAGATTTCCCAGCTGGCTCAGTCATTGTCAAAGTCTATTGTGACGGGAACATAAAGGCCACAACAGAAATTAAATACTATACAACAGCAAAGACTAAGGAATGCCCATTGTCCATGGCCAGCTTAGGGGACAGTTTGTGCCAGGTAAGTTGATATTTCTGTAAAGTTAACTATAACATAAGCTAAAGAGCTCTGGATAGATAAGTGAATTTCTGCTCTGGGGTCAAGCTTGAATGCTAATTGAATAAGGACAAATTACTAGTAATCAATAGGGAAGGAAAAAGCCAACATCTAAGCAAGCAGACTGATTTGCCTAGGTGAAGTCACCGCTGATGATATCAGCAGGAAACAGCTTGTCTGTCACAACATGGCTGTCAGGATGGTTCATTTTAAAGCCATTACAGAGGCCTCACAGAGGAGGGAGGAATCAACAAGACCTGTTGGCAAATGAATTTCATCTTAACCTAGATATGTATACCACAGAACAACACCACCAAAAATCAGGTCATCTTTCTGATGCTTTGAGGTTCTGAAGTCAGGCACACAAAGTATGATCTAACAGAAGCATGTGGTATTTATCTAGCAATTGTTGTTTCCATGGGTATATTTCTAAGCTCAGTGTATGTTTATTTTTCCTTACTTCAATGATCAGTGCTGCTATTGTGAGCAGTGTGTTTTAGGAATTCTAGAAAGACTGAAATTTCATGAGAGATACGCAAAGGGGCCAGCCAAGTTCTATTTGCTCCTCTCATGTGACCAAGTCCTGCTCCTTAACAGTGGCTTTGTGAAGCATTGCTGATCTGGAAGAGCCTGTTTGGTACTTTTTCATGAAAATGTCCTGATTTTAGCAAGTACTCGTTACGTCTTGGAGAATTATAAGCTATTATCTTCACTTCTGAATTCTGTTTTATTGCTATTGACCCAGTGTTGAGGGAAAAAAAAAACTTGCTTAAAATGGAATTTATGTATTCCATCAACTTCATAAAGTAAAATAATTGTTTCTTTGATTCTGAGCCAGTACTGGAGCTTGAACTCAAGGCTTTACTTCGCTTCCTCGCTGAAAGTTGCAACCCTACCACTTGAGCCACTCCTCCATGGTTTTGACTCGATAATTATAATTATAATTTTAATTGCTCAGTTAGCAAGGTATTAGAAGGGAAAGAGGGAAGGAAGGAAGGAAAGAAAGGAGAGAGGGAGGAAAGAAAGGAAGGGAGGAAAGAAGAAAAAGAAGGAAGGAAAAAAGAAAAAAAGAAAGAAAGAAAGAAAAAAGAGCAGAGTGAGGAAGGAAGGGAGGGAGAGAGAGAAGGAAGGAAGGAAGGTAGGTAGGAAAGAAGGAAGGAAAGGAAAGGAAAGGACTGATTTTTCAGTTACCATAAAATGCTCCACAAGATTTGGAACAAATTTTTGACAGGGAGATAAGTTTTTCATGAACCTAATATATTTAAACTAATTTGGAATTGGAGGCTTGTTATTTATTTCATGTGATATTTTCTCTGCCTCCTGAGTAGCTAGGATTATAGCCATCAACATTCCTGGACTATTGTGATACATTTTTACCTTAGGGTTGTCTTTTATGAACAATATATTTAAAGCAAAAAGAAAAACAAAGATGGGCTGGGAAGGTGGCTCAGTGGTAGAGTACTTGCCTTGCGTGCCTGTTCGATTCCTGTGTTCGATTCCTCAGCATCACATAAGCAAAAAGAAAAAAGCTGGAAGTAGTGCCGTGGCTCAAGTGGTAGAATGCTAGCCTTGAGCTGAAGAGCTGAGAGACAGCTCCCAGGCCCAGAGTTCAGGCCCCACGACCAGACTCCGCCCGCCCCCCCCAAAAAAAGAAAAACAAAGATGATGTCTTAGAAATGGACAGTGAGTAAAATCCATTTGGTCAAACTGGAGAATTCTAAGGACAAAAGACAAATATCTACATTGTAAAAATGAACCAAATACAAAAGGAATAGGCTAAATTACAGATTGCTTCATTTTCTTTTGGCAGCTCTACCATGTCTTCTACTTTAAAATTCCATTAATAAATATATTGTGCTGTATCAGTCAGTGCAGAATTATAGTATTCAGTCAGTGCAGAAGTAAAGTATTCCCCAAATAAATTTTTGTGTTAAATTTTTCTCTTGTGGGAATCTTTATATATAATGAAACTCAAATTGAATGCATGAATCCTGGACAAAGCTTCAGAATGCAATAAAATGGAGGTCATAATTTCTTGTTCAGCTTTTGGTAGATGAAAATTGTCTGCATAGATTTCAGTTAACTGGCGTATTTTCATCATTTGAGATGAGAAGCGAGGAAGAGCTGTGGCTGCATTCTAGAAGGGATTTTCATCTTCCCACCCAGCTCTGGAGGCCTTGGAAGACATTATGGGCATCCCACACTTGAGGGTTGTACCATCAGCATAGAGTTATTGGAAGCTTGAGGTCTGACTAATGACAGGTAGAATTATGGAAAACCCAGCACCAAGAGGAGGAAAGGAGAAAAGCTAGAGATTAGATATCATGTATGTCATTTAAGATAGATCTACAAGTTTTACTGTTGTCATCATGGTCCTAGAAGTGCTAAGGGAAATCAAAACAAACAAACCCATGCACAGCTATGAAATCAGACCAAGTCATCCATCACAGGCTGGGAAGAAGGGGAGAACCACATCAGTTCATTGCCTAGGTGAACTTGGATTATTCTACAAGCTATCGTCTAAATCTACTGATATCTGGAACCACCACAAGTTATCTGGCAGTTCTGGGGCTTGAACTCAGGTCGTGGACACACCGTCCTGAGCTTTAGTTCTCAAGGCTAGTACTCTACCACTTGAGCCACAGCTCCACTTTGGAATGTTTTTCATAGTTAATTGGAGATGAGCCTCACAGATTTTCCTGCCCAGGTTGGTTTGTTGTTGTTGTTGTTTTTAACCGTGATCCCCAGATCTCAGCCTCCTGTGTAGCTAGGATTACAGACATCAACTATTAGTGTCCAGCTTATCTGTGAACTTATTATGCAGTGAAAAGCAGACATTGTCTTGATGAATGTTAGGGTTGCTTGATCTCATGGAAGTGTCCCAGTCCACACTATGATCTTCCTTGTGGACATCCATTTATTTTTCTGTTTATATTACTTGATTTTAGCATTTGCGTTTGACTTTACTCTTGCATTGTCAAAGTCCACTTCAGAACACAAAATACAAGAATAAGTGTTTGTTCTATGACCTGCTCTGTCACTAAACTGGAAACTTTGGATATTTTGCAACTGGTCTACCTTTATTCAACACTACTATATTGCCACTTCATTTACCTTAATTCTGCGCATTTGTAGAAACACATAGCTACAATACTTGAATGTATGAGTGCTTGCAATGTCCTTCCTACTTAGCTGAAATGATTCATTATAAAATCTATATGCTCAGCTGGGTGTTGATAGCTCATACCTCCAATCCTAGATATGAAGAATCACTGCACCCAGGCTAGTCAGAAAAGCCCGTGAGGCTCTTATCTCCAATGAACCACCAAAAAGCCAGAAGTGTGGCTCAAGTGGTATACCACCAACTTTGAGTGATAAAAGTCAAAGGACAGCACCTAAGGCCTGAGTTCAAGCCCCGGTACGTGCACAACACACAAGAAAAACAACAATAACAACAAACAAAACTATACTGTGTTCCAGCAAGTTTTAATTGTAAATATGAACTCAGCAATCCCAAATTAGGAACAAGATCCTTTTTAATAATCATTTAAAGTCTATTATGCATATAATAACAAAACATAGTACAAACTTGAAGAAAGACTTGATCATGAGAAATTTATGTATTTTATTTGCTACTAGTATTCTTATAGCGTATCATAAGAGATGTTCTATCATCATTTAAAAGCTATTGAGCATAAAGCAAATATGGCTGTCCTGTGAATTTGAACAAAAAATGTTAATGACCAACTGGATCCTATTTTGTTTTTAATGATAGCTCTTAGGGTTTAGAATACTTTACCTCAACTATCTTAATTATCTAATCACTTCCTACATCATTTCATGTTTTGGGATAAATATAAAACTCCCAAAACACAGCTTTATGAAGGTACAATTTCCAAAGTATCACTTAAAGAATATAAGAAAGATGTATCATCCCAAAGCCCAGTGTGGAATAATAATTAGAATTCAAGTAGTGCAGTTAGAAATACTAGTAATTCCTGTGCAACTGAGATGATTAAAACCTTTGATACTTCCATGTGTTTACAGAAGTCTCTTGGGATAACAATAAAGTTAATTTTTGATAGGAACAATTATATACAGTACAGAGCAAAAATAGGTCAAAATGATTAAACAATATTGCAATTATTAATCAAAGTATTAATATGCTATTCATTAAAATAGTTTCAGAGAAGAAAGAAAAGAAATCAAATAGTTCTTGAAATATATCAAATAGTTCTTCCAAGTTATATTATCTATTAATTGAAAAAGTTACTTATGGGTAGGGATGTGAGGGAAAAACTGGGAGAGAGCAAGGGAAGGGGTGACATTGTCCAAAAAGAAAAGTACTTATTACCAACATAAAACTGTAACTCCTCTGTACTTCACATTTGTAATAACAATGAAACAAAGTTTAAAAAATATAAATATAAAATATAAAAAAACAAAAACAGTTGTCTGTGTTGTAATTATCAAATTACATATTTTACATTAGAGATATTGAAATGCTATTCTCATCTTCAAGTTAGATGTTTTGTTTGATTCAATCTTTGATTTGCTGCCTGCAAAGTGTTTAATATTGTGAAGTGAATTGCAGTTGGAGTAAATCAAGGTACCAACAACAAATTCAAGGTCAAGAACCTCATGATTATCTCCATTGATGCAGAAAAGGCTTTTGACAAGATACAACATTCATTCATGTTAAAAAGCTCTGGAGAAAATAGGAATAGAAGGAACATTCCTTAAAACAATAAAACCTATACACTTTGCTCATCCTTTCGGAGGATGTCAATGTGAACACTCTTTAACTGACCTCAGTTGAGAGGAGGTTCTGACTAGGCATGGTGATGCATGCCTGTAACCCCAAATAATCAAGAGGCAGCTACAAAAGGATTGTGGTCAGAGGCTGGTCCTGGTCAAAAGCATGACTCTTTCCTGAAAAACAAACTAAAACAAGCTGGGCTTTAGTGATTTATGCTTATAATCCCAGCTACTCAGGATTACATCTCAAAGCCAGCCCAGAAATGAAACTCCATTAATCAGCAAAAAGCAGGAAGTGGAGTTGTGGCTCAGGTGGTAGAGCACTAGCTATAAGCATAAAAGCTCAGGGACAGTGCCCATTCCCTGAGTTCAAGCACTAAGAATGGCACAAAAAGAAAAGAAAAGAACAGAAGAAAACCCCAAAACAAAAGGACTGGGGTGTGGCTCAGATGACAGAGCACTAATAGGTTTTTAAAAACCTTAATAAATGAATAAATAAGTAAGGCTCTGTTTTTAGTGACTAGTTCTCTAGAGGGCTCAGATCCCTGTCATAAGAAACATTTCAAAACAATCCATAAAAACAAAGCACAGGTCAAATATAGTTAAAGTCGTTTCATTAAGATCATTATTACTGCTATGATAATTAGAGAAAAATGAGAGAATCTATTTCTGATAGAAACAAACTCCAAGTCATCAATAACCCTTTGGAAGTCCCTGGAGCAAAAATATATTTATTTATGTTTTCTAGAAGTCACCACGCAATTTGGTGGGGTCCGTAATTTTAACAGGTATGGAATTGATAACAAAATAAAGAAATAAAGTAGATATGTAATTGAGAACCATAAATTGTTTTTTCTAATTTATGAATGAACTTTCTATTGTAACTCAAATGCAATTTTTTGTAACAAGCTGTTTCACTGGCAATAGAACACTTGATTTCTGTGTTACATCTACCAAATGGCTCAGATTAGGGAAACAACTACTATATAGTAATGCTGTATTTATGGGAAGAAAAGGCTAAGAGGAATGGTCTCCTCACTTAAACACAGAAGTAATATAATCTGTTTGGACAATCATGTTTCTGACTCTCAAGTTGAAGAACCAGATACATCTTATAATTTCATTTATGAAAGTATAGTGTGTATTTTTACCATAATTTATTATTGAAAAACTTCAATGCTCTCATTTGGGCTGTTGTAATGTTATTAATGTTATTTGATACCTAACAAATTTTAGGTATCAAATAAAGTTACCATTACACATTTGAAAGCAACTACTTTTATTTCTTATATCAAGTTTTCTATAATCTAAATAATGGACTCTTAGGTAAGTATTTAATGTGTATTATTTCTTTTCCAGAAAGGTATCGATGTTACTAATAATTACTAAGCATTTATTCTTCCCTTGCCCTAAGATGCTTCTCTACCTAAACTAATGAAGAATTTTCTTTGTGTATAAAAACAGGGTAACATGGAAGACCTGGATGGCATTCTTGCAGCCATATTCAAACATGAGATACCATATTATGAGTTTCAATCTCTTCCAACTGAAATTTACTCTAAAGAAGAATGTGAGTATTCATCAATTGCACTAATTATTCATTGTATCATTTCAACTTGATGTGACTCTTTAGTAAATGCTACAGCCTAGAATGTAGTCAGTACAATTGTCCAAACTCCATTTGGTAAATTCTTAAAATTATGGTTCCCCCAAAATGTGAATAACTATAATTTCTTATATAGTAGTTTTATATATGTAGATATATTTATACACACACACATATATATATAAACCAAGAATTGAAAGTTCAATATAATGAGATAATCTATCCAGAAGCCTTGTTTCTGTGTACCTAGTTCTAATTTTTACTTGAAACACAAAATAAGACTACAAAAATTAGACACAAATATGACGAGATCATGTTTTAGTTACTTCTTTGGCTCTTTAGTCTTCATCAATGTTAGCTAATAATATCTGATCTTTAAAATCTATATACTCGTGTCTCATAGTGATTGGGTTGAATTACCTTAACACAAGCTCTAAAACTTTTGTTGTAAAGTTGCCTACATGACTGGATTTCAAATATGCTTAACTTGTTATTGCTCCATCATCCCTTCTTCTTAACTTGTTGTAGAAAGTTCTAGGTTTAGTTCTCTGTTGCTTCATTTTAAATAGATAACATAATATTTTACCAGTATGGTATTTTAGTCACTTTCTCTCCTGTTTGTAAATAATCCTCTTCATTTGATTTTTACTCTCAGCACACAGAGTTGGGGATGGGTAGAGATTAAACAGGAAGTATATAAGAAAAAATAGAACTGTTTTTATGGTCTCTCTATTATTCGTTTTAAAGTCCTATTTTTCCATGAACAATAATTTTTCATAAGAAAAACTTTCTCTCCCTATAAAGTTTAGGAATGAATTTTGGTATGTTAGTGTAATGTAGGTCTTTTAAATAATTTTAATAATTTATTGACTTTCTAATATGTGAATCATTGGGGGCTGTGATATTAATACAAAGGATCATGAAAGGTAGATTTGCACCAATGGGTAAGATATTGGGATAAAGAATATAAAAGTGTGTCAGCAAACATCCTTCTCACTTTTCTACATGAACACGTGTGGTTTGGGTCATCATGGCAAAGTGTGAATGACACGTGTCATAAGAGCACTCAGTCCACACAGTTGCTTGAGTCCCTCTGTAACTTCAACTCCGCTAGTTCAAATCTTCTTCTGTGGTCTCATAAATCTCAGATCCAAGAATTTTCTTTTTCTTTTTTCTTTCTTTTCTTCTGTTCTTTTTTTTTTTTTTTGTCGGTCATGGGGCTTGAACTCTGGGCCTGGGCCCTGTCCCTCAGCTCTTCAGCTCAAGGTGAGTGCTCTACCACTTGAGCCACAGCACCACTTCCAGTTTTCTGGTGATTAATTGGAGATAAGAGTTTCATGGATTTTCCTGCTGGGGCTGGCTTTGATCAGCGATCCTCAGATCTCAGCCTCATGAGTAGCTAAGATTACAGGCGTGAGCCACCGGTGCCCAGCCAGGAATTTTAACTTCTCTTTAGAGACCTTTTAAGGCCTGGAAAATGGAAAGGATCCTTATCATGGTCAGAAAATAGAGTTGAGGTTGTTTTTGAAGAAGGTAGAACCATGCAATCACTGTTACTGGAGGTTCGTTTAGGAAAAGAGAAACTATGTTATTTTCGCTCCGAAGTACTACTCTTCACCCTGGAGGAAGAAGTGGTTTAGTGAAGACCATGACCATCTCTAGACAGTATGTCAAAGCATATGCTGATTTGCAATCATTAGCAATATTTAAATCTGAAAGAACAGAGCATATGGTCACCAGTGACATGTGAAAGAATTAATTCAGAATTTGATTTTCTAATTAACGATAAATGTGGACCATATAACACATACTTAATACATATGTAAAGGTACTGTAGCTCTCAGATTTCTCTTGGACTTAGAATGTCTTAGTCAGAAAATAGACCATTTGGTAACTAAAACTTCCATTAGTCTTTTTTTGTGTGTGTCAGTCATAGGGCTTACCATTTGGTAACTAAAACTTCCATTAGTCTTTTTTTGTGTGTGTCAGTCATAGGGCTTGAACTCAAGGCCTGGGCTCAGCTCTTCAGTTCAAGGCTAGCACTCTACCATTTGAGCCACAGCACCACTTCTGGCTTTTTCTGTTTATGTGGTTGATGCTGAGGAATTGAACCCAGGGCCTCATGCATGTGAGACAAGCACTCTACCACTGAGCCACCTTCCTAGCTCTTAGTTTTTGTCTTTCTATATACTCAAGTAATCTTAACATGCAGAAAAATAAAAAAATGAATAGAAATGATCTTAGATCTACCAGTTAGCTTTGCCAAATCTTATCGTTTTCCTTACATTTGCTTAATCTTTTTGTAAATAAAATATTTAGTTTAATTTCAACCTCCATTTCAATTCCATTCACTTAAAAGCAAAATAACTGTATTTTAGTAAAATTTGTACAATAATTGCTAATGAGAGGTAATTAACTTCAAATGCTATGTTAGATTTTTTCTATTTATCTTATAGTTTTATTGACATCCAAAATTTTATTTAGCAATCATATTATTTTAATTGCTTGTGGCTACTCCTTCCTTGACACCTAATCGGCTATATTGTAGTTTAACAACAATGAGGAAATTGAGGAAATGAACAGTTCACCCCTTTAAGGTGACATTGAGCAAGATGTATTGTATTCATAATCTGCTTTGTTAACTGTCAACTCCTTTGTACAACTTCTTAAAGATAATAAGTATGGAAAAATTAAGCCATTTAGCACTTTCAAAAGAAAATTATGAATAGGATCAACATCAAGGAGATTTTATTACAAACAAACCAAAAAATAATAAATATTTTTTAAGCCTTTTATGAAGAAATTGTGTCTAGTCCACAGATTTATCATTAGTCCTTACAGGAGTTTGTAGCACTCAACAAATTTGTTATATCTGAAAAGAAAGAATACATATAAAGTTTCTTGAATCAATTAGTGAGTGAAAAACAAAGTAGATATAACTTTTAATTTTTCTCTTAAGTATTTCAGAGATAGTTGGAGTAATAAGAATTCACTTGCAGCCTTTTACTAAATAAATAGGCAATTAAGATGAGTTGCAAGTTGTTTAGGTACTGATGCACTTTCATTTTGATTGACAAGTTTCATTAACCCAGTGTTGCGGTATTTTATAGACATACAGAAATACTGACATTTTATCAGATTCCATTTCTTCTTCAGAGTTCCAAAATTTGGGATTCCAAATTTTTATTTCTTCATTAGAATTTGATTAATTAATTTGATAAATATCCAGTGACCACTTCCTTTTGTGAACATTAACCCTCAGTGGCATGGAATCTAGCTCAATACTATTTTTTATAACTGAAAAAATAATTGAGACCCAGCAAAGTGAAGGAATATTCTTAAGAGCCACAGCTCTGGTGACTGAACTGATGTTTAAATTCAGATCTCCTGACTTTTAATCTTCTCTTTATTGTGTGCTTTATTTTTCTGTCCTAAAGTGATCAACTGGTCATCCTATTCTGAGTGAATACATATTTAATATTCTAGAGAGTAATTTGTGAGAACTATCGGTCCTATCATCATCTCACTGTTAAATTTTTATTTAATTCTTATACTTCAAACCTGGGCATATTACTATTTTATCATTCTCCTAAGCTAGGCCAATCTTTTGAAAGTTTTGGTTTGATTATGTCAATTGATCATTAGCCATCTTTTATAACGATTACCCTGGAACGTTTACAGACAACTGTGTGACGCAATTTCCTTTGCATCTGCCAACTCATGTGTCTACTTTTATTTATCAAAGCCATAAAGCATTAAGAAAAGGCCCCACAGACAATTATTCTGCTCTCCTGTACTTATTATTTGAAAAATTTGGTCAGCAAAAAGTAAAAACTGAGAATGTGTTATAGTGTGGTATGAATTATGGCTTTCCTATGTACACGTTAACAATAAAAACAGGTATAAAGAATCTTGATTAATTAAATGAAAATTGCCCTAAAATGAAACAGATTCACCCTGGAGACTAATCACATTTTAAAAGGGTTTCTATCTTTTTAAGAAATCTATTAATTTTCTGTAATGGATAAAATTATAAAATGTTTATAAATTAAAATCTTTGAGTTCAAGGAAAGAACTAAATATAATATGAACTATGATTGACAGTAACTCTCTGTATTAAGATGTATATAATAACAAGAGACTATTTTTCTACTGTAATAGGAACATACCAGGTGATCTCCAAAATCAATTCCTTTAAAAAAAAAAATCAAGCAGCAAATTGAGCACAAAGAAATAAAATAAAATAAATTTCAGAAACTGCCAATCCTTCACAAGAGAGAAAGAATCATGAGTGTATTTAGCCTTGATGGAAGAAGACAAGAACTCACTAAAGATAAAAAGCAAAGAGAAATCAATTTAGCACTTAGCAAACTTTAAGTAGCCATATTCATTTATTATATGATGAGCTGTCCTATTTATGCTTCAGCAACTTACTAGTAGGAGTAGAATATGTTTGGTTTGGGCTGGGAAGGTGGCTCAGTGGTAGAGTGCTTACCTTGCATGCATGAGGCCCTGGGTTCGATTCCTCAGCACCACATAAGCAAAAAAGAAAAAAGCTGGAAGCGGCACTGTGGCTCAAGTGGTAGAGCGCTAGCCTTGACCTGAAGAGCTGAGGGACAGCGCCCAGGCCCAGAGTTAGGCCCCATGACCGGACCCCCCTCCCAAAAAATGTTTGGCTTTTCTATATGATGGCAAATATTATATATATACATATATATTATGACATCCTATGCTTTCAGATACTCATGTCAAAGAACTTCCAACTCTTCTCCACTGTGGAGCCAAATTTGGCTTAAGGAACCTGGCTACTCATTTGCTTCAATGTCCAGGAGCAAGATGGGCATCTCAGACAAAAAACACAGATGGTTTCGATCCAGCACATATCGCTGAAAGGCATGGTCACAAAGAACTCAAGAAAATCTTTGAAGATTTTGCAGTAAGTCTTTTTTAAAATTATACCCCCAAACCTGTTATATAAACTAAGTATGTATGTGTGTATGATATGAACATATAAATTGCCTTTTTGAAAATGATACTATTGCACAGTTCATAATGCACTGTCTAACAATAATAGCCGTGTTGATCTCCAGTCATACATCGCCCGCAAGAAGCATATTTTAATATTCATAAACTTGTTCTGGTATTACCACAAACTGATTCTGATTCTTGCCTCTAAACATCTGGTTTTGAAACCAGTCTGGTCCCTTTGGCTTTTATATATAATATTTGATGATGAGAAAGTAATGAACCTATTATTATTTATTAAGACCTTATATGATTATTCGGTACAAAAATGGTAAGAATTAGGTTAAAAGGGAATATGTTTTGATCATTCAAAAATTCTGTGCAATTTATGCAATCAAAATTTTAGGTGGCTTAAATTTGTTTCTCTTAGGTGCTTCCTTTACTCTCAGTTCTGTAATATTTCTTTGAAAAGCTCAAGTTTCCAAATGCTCATGGAGGGATGTTAGCATTTCAAGAATGTAATCAAAGATGATTCTAGAAGGAGATGATACTATCTTAGTAAATAAAACACAGTTTGTGTTCCTGTAGTCAAATTTAGAAAATCTCTTCGTTTCTGTTTGTAACAAAGAACACACATTTTTATCTGGATAATGAATTATATGTTATACTTCTGATGGCCCTTAGTAAAGTATAATAGGACAATGATTATGCTGGTGAACATTTCAAGATCTATCTTTGGATTATCAGAACAGATATAATTTTATTCCTATTAAACCATTAAAATAGAATATTCAAGTACTAATAAGAAGCTTCTGGTTATTTTAACATTTATTTTGATTAGCAGACTATGTCATTCTAGTATCCTTGGTATTTGTAATTTCCATAGAATAAAAGGACAACTAATGAAACTTTTTCTATTTATAAAAAAATAGCAAAATATTTATCAGGAGGACATGATAACTTCCCCTTTCTTGAATTAGTATAACTTTTTTTCTGGGCTGGGATGTTGACTCAGTGGTAGAGTGCTTGCCTCGAATGCATGAGGCCCTGAGTTCGATTCCTCAGCACCACATAAGCAGAAAAAGCTGGAAGTGTTGCTGTGGCTCAAGTGGTAGTATGCTAGACTTGAGCTGAAGAGCTGAGGGACAACACCCAGGCCCAGAGTTCAGCCCCCATGACTAACAACAACAACAACAAAAGAATAGCTTTTCCCCAGATTTAAAATAAATGCATAAGAGGCCAGGCACTGGTAGCTCAAGCCTATAACCCCAACTAGTCAGGAGTCTGAAGATCACGGTTCAAAGCCAGCTCAGGCAAGAAAGTCTGTGAGACTCTTATTTCCAATTAATCACCCAAAAGTTAGAAATAGAACTGTGGCTCATGTGTTAGAGTGCTAATCTAGGGCAAATAAAGCTCAGCAACAGTGCTCGGGCCCTGTGTTCAAATAACTGGACCAGAACAACAACAGTAACAGTGAAAAAATAAAACAACTGAACATGTAGTCTTGTCATAAAAATAATGAGGTATTAATTGTTTAGCCTAGGAACTTCAATTTAAAAGTGAGCAGTCTTTTTATTCCTAGAAGGATTTTAAATAGAGATTTTCAGATGCTGACATTAATCTAGTCTTTCTGTTTTGCCTCATGAACACATCCATCTTGATCATTATCCAGTATGTCAGGTCCCCAACTGAGAAACATGGCGTCTCTCTCAGATGCATCAATGAGTCAAATCAGCCTTGAGTATTTTCCCATTAACACAGTGGATTTGTATGCACAGGTACGTGGTTCCAACGAGATCACCTTGAGGAAAATAATCACAAATGCTCTAGGTGTCTAGTGTTCAGGGCTGTACTGCATACACTCAATTCATTTTTCCCTCAAGACAGCTCAACTTCCAATACAGACATGATACCTTTTGAACAACACTAAAAATATTTACCATGTCACTTCCATCAGCAAAATCACTTGTGCTTTGGGCATACCATTTGCCTTCTGGGAGGCATATTTTCACCAAAAACTGGAGTCAATGAGCCACTCAGCAAGTCACAATACAGTTTAAACACATCTGACAAGAATACAGTACAGAATGAGAGCTTCCAGAATTCACTGAGTTATAGTTCCATGCATGCATGGAAATTTAATACTTTCCTTTTGAAATACCTTTTGATTGACTGATGGCACATGGTCAAAGCCATGGGTAATAAATGTGCAAATAAAAGACAGGCTCATTATTCTGCCATTTTCAGTATTCTTGTTTCCAACCCTTGCAACTTTGTCCTCTAATTTTTGGCCACTGATGTATTCAGGTTAAAATTTTCCCTGGTTTCCAACCATTACTTTCTAAGGTAAATCAGAGAGTTTATGCATCTACCCTCCTTCTCTCCAAGAAAGACGTAGATTTTTGACAGATACAGCTCCATGCAAAGGGCTTGTCCCCCATAAATAGCACAATGCCACACAACAATGGCAAGAGCAATGAATTGGAAGTATGAGGGTAGGAGATGAAGATGGATGGATGTGTGGAATCATTATTCGCTTACATGTTCTGGGCATGTATATCTTCTTCCCTGTATAACAAAACTGACCTGATGAAATTAACTACCTTCACTGACTCCAGGTAAGTGTTCTTTCTCTTAGAGTATCTCCATTCTAACTCTACAAAGTTCCACTTGATCACAAGCTGATGCAGTTTGCCAGCGTGTTTACAGTAGTCATTGTCCTTCTAATTTGCAAATATTAATCTGTGCTTGTTTTGCTGTTAGGGAGGAAGTGACTGGCAGCTTTATGAGGCAGCAGATCTGAAAATCTGCACTTTAATGGACAGTGGATAATTTTAGGTCTAATACTGTTGCAAGTTATCAAATGTCTTTTTAGCAAATGTGTGGTTAAAGAAATGATCATATATATACTAGGATGTGATCCATATTGGAAAATATTTCTTGGTGACTTATCTACCATCTGAATTATTTTTCTGATTATCAGTTTATTCAACATAAATCTAATAGCCCTATTTTTTGGTATATTGACATGTTGGCAATGTCTATGCTAAACCATGGAAGTGATGTCTTTTGAAGGGTATGCCTAAATCTAGTAGGGAGAAACTATGTGATCTCATGTCACTAAACTATTTTTTTCTGAAATAACAGTTTTAGTGTTACAATCACACTTTCAGAAGATGTGAATAAAATGGGTATATTTTGGATTTGAAGTTTACAGTCTACCAAAGAATTATTCCTCTTTTGGTTTGCTTGTTTTTTGCTGTTATTTTGTTTTGCTTTTGAGGAAATATCTACTTTCAGGAAAATTGCTCCTGACTGATTTTCTGATTTGTTCAATTCTTTCTTCTCATCTTGTGCATTTGAGGACTCTCAGGGAATTACAATATGCTGATATGGTCAAGGGAATGAAAAGAAAAAGTCCACTATAATTTGTACATTATCAATTAATAAGCCTATTGGCACCCATGTTAGTGTTAAGTATGTAGAAGAAGAAGTCTCAGATCACATTTATCACATAAAGCAAATCACATTGCTTTGTCATGTTTTTCCTTTGATAAGTAAGGTAATTTATACAGAATTAATGAAGAGAACCTTTTCTTTGTGAATAGCTTTTGTGGTTTAATAAAGTTATTTATTTCACACCTATAATTCTTTCATGGGCTCATATTCTTACTGGATGATAATCCACACCTTTTGTAATCTGTAGAATCAAGTGCTTAGTCATTTTTCAGTTTCTGGACGTTGTCTTCTTTGAGAATTAATAGGAAAGGTAGACAAAAGACAAGATTTTGTGTTAAAATTTGTATATGAACCACAATTCATTTAATGAAATAATTGAAGACATCCCAGGCTGTTTCACATAGTAAAGAATGATGCTGATTATTAATCTGGGGCCTTAAAAATGTATTCTTAAATTAAAAACACATTAAAAATTGAAAGCTAACTGGAACTTGTGCCAGAGTAAGAAGTACTTTGATACTTCAGATAAAACGTGCAACAGACAGTATTATTTGTTTCAAACAAAAGCACAAGTAGTCTATTAGTTTCCTTGTATTAATTCAAGTTTGCCATCCACTCCATTTCCATCAGTTTAAAATGGCTAACAAAATGAAATGCAAGTGGACAGGAAAACATGTTCTCTGTGGACCAGTTATGGAACTGGGGAAGTAACAGGTATTTAGTTACCTTAGAAAGAACCTTCAGAAAACTTTCATCCAGCACAACATTCACTCCTACTATTTGGTACAAATGTTAATAAAGTTTTAATTGTAAATATTCTTCAAGAAAAATGAAGAGGACAGATAGATTCCTGTGTACTTCCACTGGGATTGCTGATGGAAATCATTTAAATGGCCTCATTTCTAAGGAAATTCTTGTGACATTGTGTTGCCCTTACCTGTGCCTACATTTCTCCTTGCCCCTATGGATAGTCACCTGAACTCTGTGTGTGTGTGTGTGTGTGTGTGTGTGTGTGTGTGTGTGTGTGTGTGAGATGATAGAGAAAAGGAGAGGCAGGGATAGGGAAAATAAGAGAGGAATAGTTAGATATCAGAGAAAGGCAGATACAGAGAGACAGAAGAGACAGAAACAGAGACATTCAGTTATCCTCTAGTGTCTAGTTGAAAGATCTCATAGAGAATCTTTTACTCACATCCTGGGCTTCGTGTTTGGTGAACAGTGAATTTGCGCTGTTCTTCGCCCTTTATTTCTCTCATTCTTAGCATTACTCAGTAATTTACGTAATAACAGTTGCTCTCAAGTAGATGGTTCCATTCAGTTCAGCATATGTCAGTGTTATGTAACTGATCTTAAGCATGCCCTGCTTGGTTTATGTACTTGTTCTTCCCCAAACAGGGAAACAACCTCCCTTCTTCTTTATCATGAACTGCTACAGAGATGCTCAGCTTGTATTTACCCTTTGATGGGGAAGAAAGCAAGTGTTTCATTGAAGGATTTATTTGATATCACTTT